TGTCAGAAAATTTATACAAAAACTTTGATGTTTCAAAAATGAGAAGAAGTTATACTTGTGAACAAATTGATGAAAAATTTTTTAAATTTTTATAGATGTACAATACATAAGTATTACAAATGCTTTAAATTATATAGTTCGTAGTACTCTTTGTTCTTATTTTTTTTTTTTGCACATCTATCTACATTCTTTGTATTAATTTTTTCGGTAGCTCCACTCAACTACCACAGTTTGAAATGCGCGCGCATTTTGTTTTGTATCAGCTGTACGAGCTGTACTACAGCGTACAGCTGCACTGTACTATGTTGAGCTCAGATCTCAAGAACACAGTATCACATACCATCATCGATGTTGTTACACCACCAATACCATTGGTAACAACGTAAATGTATATACTGATCATTTTAAAAATTCTAGCACATTTAAAACGCAATAGAAAATGATTCGAAAGTGCCCTGTGATTGTGTTCGTGTTTATTTTTCTTTTAGTATTTTTTTCTAGTGCACTAGAACTTCCATCGTCGATTCTCCAGGTGTCAGGTAAACAATCAGATAACCTTAAAATGCTTATGATTGTTTTTATTCTGTTTTGTACTGTTTTTTTTGAATTTTATAATAATACATATTATTTTTATACTAGTGCATGGAACCTATAATTAACTTAGTAAGGAGTCGGTGCATTTTTTGGTCTATTATTGCTAACTTTAATGTATACTAAATTTGTATTTTCAAACTCCATCAGAATTCTATATTTATACTGCTTCAAAAACTTCAAATAAAATTATAAATTTTAACAAATTTTTATAAATATTTATACTGCAACAATTATTTTGTTTAAACTATAATTTTTTGTAGATACTGAGAAGTTAAAAGTATAACTAATGAATAAAAAATATCATAACTTTTCGGCCTCAAATTTGGAACTCTCAAAAATATTTAAAAATAAAAATCCACTATTCTGATAATATCTCCCATCTTACATTATTTTTCGATCGAGTAAAGATATAAGCTTATCTTGTTTGTTGGATGAGCAACTGAATATATATTGATAATATTTCCATTTCAGATGGGAATGTGATAAACATTTCTTTAACCACATACAATAAATCAGATGAGGAGAATCAGGCATTTACGCAATTGGTACATATAGATAAAAGTGCCAACTTTAACATTGAAGTTAACGACATACCTCCTGAAGTGGATTTTATTATAGCACAAATTCATTCTTATATGTACCATATTTCTATATCTTCTTCTAAGAAAGCAATAAATGAAGACCCAAGTCATTTTGTGACTGGTACAAACATTGGTATTTTTGTGGAATTGAATAAGACTAAAACGGCCTCAGTTTATGTCATAAATGAAAATAATGTTCAAGTTCAAGGTCTTGTAGCTATAATAGCATATAGTAATTATGGTAAGTATTTTCTCTTTTAAAATAATTTTTAATCAAACAATAGAACACTAAATTTAAATACATTTAAAATAAAATTAAAAAATTGCTTTGAGAAATAAACTGCACAGTATGGTGTGTGCATTGGACAACATTTGAAACTGATAACTAACGAATTCAAAAAATGGCTAAATATGAGCAGATCTATTTCTAAACAACTTGTCTATATAATCCAACATGATTTGTATCTTGTATAGATAAATAAGTAACAATAGTTTCAAGATTAATTAAAATCTAATTTTTTTAGTTGACATTTTTTTAACTTGGAGGAAAATATTTCTATCACAAAAAAATTAAAACTTTAGGGCATTAAGGTACTTATTAAGATGTGTATAAATTCAAAATTCAATTAAAAAGAATTTAAAAATAGTATAACAAAGTTTAAAACTTGCATAAATCTTATAAAAGGAATGATAATTTTTTATCGTGATAAGAAAATAAACAAATATAGAATGAAAAATTTTTATCAATATTTTATAACGGCTATAACTACAGAACATAACTATAGGTACAAGAACAGTTAACGACTTTTTAATGTTAATTGCAAAAAGAAGTTTAAAACCAAGTAATCATCAGGAAGCAAGTAAATTGGTATAAGAACTTTTCAAAATCTTGGAAATTCTAACTCACTTATGAAACTATTATAAACAACATATAAGATGATTTAACATTTGAGAACTTTTGGTATAAATATTTTTTACTCAAAAATATTGAAGATCGGAGTACGATACTCTTTACATTATCTTCACGCAACAACAATGTCCCAAATTTCAAATAGTCTGTACATACTTAACAAATACAAAATTGCCTACTATTCTTCCGAAATACTCAGCCTTGTTCCTCTGAGATAATCCTTTCCTTTACCTTAAATATTCTGTAATTTCGATAGGTTAAAAATGACTACTTATAAGCTATTATATCTTCATCCAAATATAAAAGCTATGCGATTTTCCATAATTTTTTATCAACAAAAAAGTATTAAACAAAGCTTTAATAATAATGATTCAATAATTTAAAAAATGTATCTTCAGCTAATTTTTGGGGCAATTTATTAAATCATTCTTAGCTCTGTGCTTAAATAATATTTGTAAATACCTCTTTAATTATTATTTAATAAAATGTTCATAATATTACATGAATATTAACAGAACGTGCTTACTGTATTTTTTTGCAGTTAATTTTTTTAAATAAAATTTTCTAAGACTGTAAACTGAGCACAGAAGTTTCATTATTGAAAAGGTATCGTAACAGTACTAGCTTCATTAAAAATAAAACGAATTTCAGTATCATATTCTGCTAAACCAATGTCAAAAGCAAAAAACTTTGTTAATTTTTTTGAAGAAACGATGTGCAATCTACCTATTGCAGTATTTTTCATCACATTTCTTCTGAGTTTCAAGTTTATTATTAAAAATATCTTGAGATGTTATAATATCTACAACTATAACATAGTGTTGAAATTTTATGCCAATTAATTAGGCTTTATGCCTATTGCAATATTATTTTGAAAGAAAAATATTAGAAAAATAATTTCTTATTTATTTTGTTTTTTATGTAATAATTATTTTACTATCATATTGGGGGTTTGAAGCTCA